CTCTCTCTCTCTCTCTCTCTCTCTCTCTCTCTCTCTCTCTCTCTCTCTCTCTCTTGCGCGCACTCTTTCTCTCTCTTTCTCTCCGACTGCATTTTCCGCCGCGCTTCCTTCGCATTCTCCGCTCCACGCCTCGCTCTTCCCGTTTCTCTCCTACGGGGAATGTACCTCGACATTATATTTATCTCTCGGTCTCGTGCTCTCTCACTCACACGAAGTCTGCTTATTTCAGTCCCGGCCGCGCGGTGCAGAGAGTGTAACCGTAGTGCAGTCGAAAAGAGCAGAGCCGTAGATACGCACACGGCGTGGCGGTACACGGTCTCTCGCCTTGCCTTTGCTAATCGCCGCCACCGGCTCATTGTTACGGCCGAGAGCGGCTGCCACGCATTAACGCCGCGTGCTTCTCACTCGTGGCATCCTCTGGCCTTTGCATGCCCATAAGCCGAAATCACCGATCACGCCCGATCGACCGACAAGACGATCAAGTGAGAGCGCGGGAGGGTGGGGAGGGAAAGAAAGAAAGGAAGAAAGAAAGAGAAAGAATGAGCGATGTTCCTCTCTTCGAGCATCGTCTCCCGACTACCTCTCCTTCGAATCGCGCGAGGACTGTCCCAGTAATCCTTAAGGACCACTCGAACGTTCAATCGCAGGCTGGAGAGATCTTCCCAAGTCACGGACTTACCTGGGTTCTTTTGCGAAACACGCTCTGTTTCCTTCGCGGAACGTGACATTGCGCGCGAAACGGTCCCACGAGGTCTGGGCCCTATTGTAGACCGCGTATCGACCGTCGTCAAGTATGCCTTTCTGACTCCCAAACCGAGGCGACGTTCTACGTGACGCTTGTATGAGAGAAACGGAACATTGAGTTGAATGGGGATACATGGAGATCCCATTCTGCATATGCTTCCTGATTCTCAGGTTCAAGAGTTACACATAATACCGTGTAAAAATGGAACTTTGAATCGCGAAAAGGCATACGTAACATTCACTATGGTTCTTATTCTGAACTCTTTTTTTTTTTATCACAACAGAAGTGCTTGTAAGCCAATCAGAAGACTTATGAGATAAGACTCATAAGGCTTATAAGATTCATTTTTCATAAAATATATTTAGAGGAACTTATTGATAAGTGAAAGTTTAAAATAAGTACTTATGTTAAGGGTAAAGGTTTTTTTTTAACTGAATGAATATTGCACTGGAACTTTGTTCCTTATTCCTTCAACAATTCAAGTATCATTCCAAAACGTCTACGTTGAGAAAAGTTTAACTAAAAATCTACAGCGCATGTTATACGTATACTATGGATTTTGAGTTTTTATGAAAAGGACGTTTGGGGTTGCAACGGGAGTAAAATATACCTGTTCTCACTTGAAGGACAAAAAGTGCAACGTGGCATCAGCCGGAGCCTAGTTGAGCTGAAAAGAACGAGAGAGGAGCCCCACGAATCGCGAGATCGCTGCAAATCGTTCGTGGAGCGATCTCCACCGGGGCGGCGTTCCTCCCGACACTGCCGGTGCGGAATGCCTCGACGCGTCGATCGACTTCTCTCCGTCGCTCTCGCGATATCGACGCGACAGAAGCGGAGAAGCGCCGATTATCGGACGTCGTGTGGGCGTTCGTATCGATTGCCACGCAAAGAGAGAGAGAAAGAGAGAGCGAGCGAGCGAGCGCGCTTGTCATTGTGCATTACTTTCGGTAATAAAAGTATACATCCGATTCACCGCGATCTTCCGCTGCCGCCTGTGCGGTGAAAGCAACGCGTGCTCGTTCAAGTGGAGGAGGGAGGGGGGGGGGACGATCGAGCCGGCAAGAATCGCGGGGGGAGACGGAGGAAAGAACAGAGTAGGCAACGGGGGGGATAGAAGGTGGGCAGAAGAAAGGGGAGACGGTCAAATTTCTCCAGCCTCTACGCCGCGTGCGTTTCGGTGCGCGCACGCACGCACGCACGCTCCTCTTTTCGTAACTCTCTCATTCTCTCTCGCGGCGCGATCTCCTCGTGGACTGCCAGCACACTTCCTCGCCTTGGCGAGGGTCGCTCCCGTTCGCCGCCCCTCCCCCGCCCGCCCCCCGTGCGTGCGTGGGAATCCGTTTGTTCACCTGTGATTTGCGAACAACGCTCTGCACCTGCGTTTGTACGGCTGCGAATCGCGTCGCGCGGAGGCAGGGAAGAAGCGAATAACAAACGAAACGTTTGACGTCGGTGAGGATTTTGTAGCGTGAAAAGAGAAGCAACATTGCCACTAGATAACATTCTTTCGCGATATTTTTTAGCAGCAGCACTTCGTTCAACGAGGTCGACGAGTCTCGCGCACGACTCGGCGATAGCTGGCCCGACACTATTTGAAATCCTATTGAATCCTTGTTTCGCTTTTTCTTCTTCTCCGTAGAATCGTTCTCGAGTCGGCGTTTGATTTCAGATCGGCGCGATTGGCGAATCCTTCATTTTCGATGCAAAACTGCTTTTGATTATTAATTGAACGTCCGTTATTGGCCTCATCGATGGATTCCAGTTCCAATAATTGACTCTGACCGAGTAATCGCAATTCGCTCCACGGAATCATACCTTTCCAAAATGAAACGTCGGGACTTGGATGACGCGCGCTCCACGTCGTTTAGAGATTCTCCAAATGCAAAATTCTATTAGTCGCGGTGCTCTAACTCAGGAGAAATCCATCCGAGTCTGTCTGTGGTCCGAGAGAAATCCCCCGGATTTAATCAGCGTTTCACTGAAAAAGAGGAGGAAGAAGTTCGAGGCGAGGTGAAATCAAACGCGTGTACTGTCGGACACAATGGCCCTTATCTTGAATTCTCCTTCGTCGGTAAAAAAAGTACATCTGAATGTAACTTGTAAAACTTTTGATTGACTTTCAGTTCAGAGTAAGAGATAGCATTTCCGTGTCACTGACGTGTGACATCTTTCTCCGCAAGCGCTTCCGACGAACGAGACATGTAGCTCGCAAGAAAAACGAGAAAGAGAGGGAGAGGAACTAAATTCTCGATTAGAATCGAGACAACTGGACCCTAAACTAATTAACAAAGATCCTTGATCCGTTGTCTCCTCCCATCCAATCACACGCTATCTAGTCTGTGGCAAACCCTAGTACGAGGCAAACCCGAGAATTTGGTTGACATTAGCTAACAGGGCCCCACGTCAATCGACGGTGGCGTAATCCTCCTGAGAGCAAAATCTGAGCGGAGGTGATGTAATAATTTGACTGTCTTTTGCACGGAAGGGTGAGGAGGGACGATCGAATTTGAAGGTAGTTAGAGAGAAAGAAAGAAAGTGAGAGAATATAATAGAGAAAAAGAGAATAATAGAGAGACAAAGAGAGAGAGAGAGAGAGAGAGAGAGAGAAAAGTGATAGAGAAAAAGAAAGAGAGAAACGAAAGGGTGGGTTTTGTGGAGGAACGGCCAGAGGGTGAGCAAAGGGATGAGAGAAGGTTGGCGGGAGGAAGAGGAAGAGGACAGAACGGCGGAGAGGGGTGGTTAGCAGAAGGAAAGTATTGATCTGGCCGCTATCCCACGTTTGCCGCACACCTCGCGACTTGTATATATTACCGTGTTCATTGTAACGCCCGCTTTACGTCACATTCATCACCCTTTCCCTCCCTCCACCCGTGAACTTGAGGCCACATACGCGAAGACAGATACCTGGTTGCGTGCATGCGTGCGTACGCGCGAGCGACGACGCATCGCATCGATCCGCCTAATCGATTTGCGCGTGTTTTTCCCTCTCCCAGCATTTTGTCCTTATTATGGGTCTCCAGGTCTCAAGAGCGACTTCCCGTTCTCTCTCTCTCTTTCTTTCGCTTCCTCCTCCCCGCCTGCCCCCTTCCTCTGTTCTTTCAAGCGCACTAAGTACACTCGTCTCGCTCTAAGAGAAGTAGCGGACAGTTTCTTGAATTCTCGGGCTACTTGGTGCTTCGAGAGTGAGAATGTTAATTGTGAATCGCAATTTCGCACAATTGTTTCCTCGAGCTGCAGTCGCACGTATATCGCGGCTACCGTGGAGCCAATTGAAAGCGCGTTTAATCGCCACGACCTCGTGGACGCGAAATCAATATCTGAATATACAATTTCTCCGATATCGCGATTTTTATTTCCCCCGATATCGTCTATACAGGTCCGTCAGTCGAAAGTACGAGTATACGTCCGATCCTCAACTCTCGTGCTGATGATCTTGTGTACGTGAGAATTTCAACAGCCTTTCTTCTCTTCTTTGTCTTGTCCTCCGTTTCAAGATTTTTCCCTCGCGCTCTCTCGACATTCCAATCTCGACGAACTAGTCGACTTCAGTTTCCCGTAATTTTTCAGTTTAAGTAGCTTACTCAAGTTCAGCGAAGAACATTACTCCATTGAGTGTATCTCTGATAAGGAATATTCGATTAAGAGGTGTTTGATCGAATTTGTCAGGGCCGAAGGACATCCCTCGAAAGCAACTGAAATTAATCTGCGTTCCTCGGCGACGTGTCGCTCGCATGTACCGATAAATAGGTATTGGTGACTTCCGTGCAAAGTTCAAGGGGCAGCGGATTAATATATGTCGGCGCGTTCATCCCCTTTACTCCGAAGGAACTCGACGCTTACCGTTTCATCCGAAGGGCACGTAGCATTTTATAGGCCAAACGTTCATACGCCATTTAAACGAACAGGTTCACGAGCGATACGATATTCATTTTGCGCGTAGAGTGATTTATGAAGAATACTTCAATGGAACTCGATTTTCCAGCATAATTATAGGGATTTGAATGGGAAGAAGGAAGGAAAGGAGAGAAAGAGAGAGAGAGAGCAGTTTGTAGAATTTATAGAATAAAATTGTAGCCAAAATATAAGGACAATGACAGCCAAATTGCCAATATTAGGAGGGCCCATATATTTTTAACAAAAATTTTATTAACGTGAAATCAATGACACAAGAGATAAAAACTAAAGCACGGATATTATAGTGTTATAATAAATAAAAAATAACTATATATATATATATATATATATATAATATCCGTGCTTTGGTTCTTATTGACCCTATTTCGACCCTTTTGACCCAATCACCCTTGTGTGATTGATTTGATATATCAGTAGAACTTTTGTCTTTTGTATACTTTTGTATACTGATGTGTACACAAGTACAATTAAAGTAACAAAATTTTGTTACTCTAATTGTACTCGCATTGGTCAGATTTTTGTTAAAATTTTCGTTAGAAATATATAAACGGCAATTAAAGAGAGTCTCTAATTACGTTCTTCAGTTTTTTGTATTTCGATTTTAATCTTAGAGCTCTCAATTATTTCTTTAAAATCATAGTCAATCCAAGGAGAACATTGTTAAATATTTAATGAGACTCTTGACAATTCCTCCGCAGCGGTTATTTAACGTAGAATTGCCATAAATGCGACATTATAGGCGGGTAAGAGAGCATTATACATTGTTTATCGATATCGTTTGCAGAGATGGTGGAGGCGATGAAGAAGGTGGCTTCATTGGACGTAGAACTCACCGTCGAAGAAAGGAACCTTCTCTCAGTGGCGTACAAAAATGTCATTGGCGCGAGAAGAGCCTCCTGGAGAATAATCTCGAGCATCGAGCAGAAGGAGGAGAACAAGGGCGCCGAGGGAAAATTAGAGATGATCCGCCAGTATCGATCTCAAGTTGAAAAGGAGCTCAAGGATATTTGTGCCGATATCCTTGGCGTCCTGGACAAGCATCTGATACCGTGTGCCTCCACGGGAGAATCCAAAGTCTTCTATTATAAAATGTAAGAATCTCTTTTATATACATATATATATGCTCACTCCTGAATTATAAGCTGCTTAACTCGAGAACGACATGGGAAACGTACTGATATATCGTTTTGGGCCGGCGCTTTCAGGAAGGGCGATTATCATCGTTACTTGGCGGAATTCGCCATCGGCAACGACAGGAAGGAAGCAGCGGAGAACTCTCTGGTGGCATACAAAGCGGCGAGCGACATCGCCATGACGGACTTGCCACCTACCCACCCTATTCGCCTAGGATTAGCACTCAACTTCTCTGTATTCTACTACGAGATCCTCAATAGTCCCGATAGAGCGTGCCGCCTGGCAAAGGCGGCCTTTGACGACGCGATCGCCGAGCTCGACACGCTGTCCGAAGAAAGCTACAAAGATTCCACCCTCATAATGCAACTCCTCAGGGACAACCTCACCCTATGGACATCGGATATGCAGGGAGACGGTTAGTGTGCCTCACTATATTTGTCTAGCGAGGATATAAAAATCATCGTCACGAGAAGAGACGGATGTGTTTTGATTACGCTAGGACGCACGATGTTGTTGCACGACGCACCGCCCGCCTACCCGCACGTGCCCCGATCAATATGCGAGCAAATGCTACGCATTGTGCTAGGATGATCTTGTCACAAACATTCCCTTATCCCGCGCGGTTTACATAGACGATCCCGCCACCGTGACACGATCCCTTCTTCTTGTTTCCTTTTGTGTCCACCTGACAATCGACTTTTCGGCAAAGAGTCTTCAAAACGGGAAGTTATTGCTTCACACGGTTCACCGACTTGCAATTTTCAACTCTCTTTTCATTGATCTGACGCGAAGGAAGCACGCGGCCTCTAGAATGTACATCGCGTAGAATAGTTTTGCTCAACTTTTTTCTTTTCTCTCCACATCTTTGTTTGAGATTATTCCAAGTTAAGAGCAAAGGTCTTGCATCATAATACTCTTAGAAAGTGGTGGGTTGTGCAAATAGTTTTCTCATCCGCTTCAAAAAGACACGAAGCTTTAAAGTTTGTTAAAGAAGTTAACCGTTTTGTTGGGATTTTATGACCCCTACAAATTTATTATTACAACTAAACTTCGACATTCTGTCCATTTCGTGAAAAATCAAAATACACGCAACTTTCGAACGTTAATTTGTAATTTAGAATCCGAGTCTGATCATCCGGGCGATAGCGCTGTTGATATCAATGATGCCTGAACGTAGTCACACCTGTTTTTCTCTAACGCTCCTCCTCCTCCGCCTCCCCTCTCCCACACAGCATGGCTATACCGGGTGAGCCGTATACAATCAAACTCGCAAACTTGTCACAATTGTCAATCGCTTGGAAAAACAAACGCGTCGTAACCAGAGCGACCAGTTTGACGGTTCACGACGCCTTTGTGTGTGCGCATTTGGCATGACATCAATCACTAACGGCCCGTTTGTGTTTGTTGCGCAGGTGAAGGAGAACAGAAGGAGCAATTGCAAGACGTAGAAGATCAGGACGTATCGTAACTTTAACTGTAGTGAGTGTTATCTTGCGCATATAAAACTGAGACACAAGAAAAAAAAACTCTTAATAACTCGTAAGCAAAAGAAAACAAAAAAATTCAGCAGGTGGCAGTTCGGGATGGGAAGGGGAGATCTTTTAGAAATTCGCGTGACCTTTAAGGAAAAAAAAAAACAAGAAAAGACAAAAAACACGCACCGTTTTACGATTACTCTAAAACAGAGCAGCAGCAGTAACAATATAACAACAATCAACAAAAATAAGAGAAAAGATAAACAATAAATCATTCGGTCGCATTACAAACACACACATATACACGTTAATTGAGTTAATACGGAGCACGCAGAAAGTAACGAGCAAAAAAGGACACGCACCCTGCGGTAAATAGAGAGACTGCAAAGCATTTAGGAGAGAGAAAGAGAGAGAGAGAGAGAGAGAGAAAAAAAGAGGCACTTTTTAATCGTCCCCCGTTTTCTGCGTATCGAGAGGAAACACCGTCTTTGCACTGTGCATGCGTCCGATCAAAATTATATCGACATCGTGAACATCGAGACGACGGTGACGCCGACCATCGATTGGCAGCCTCGAAAATTCCAGTCGCACTTCTGGATTGTACACGCCGTAGCGCACGTTGTTGTAGTGATACGTTCTCTGGGACAAATGTTCGGTTCACGCCGCGGTCTCTCTCTCAGTGAATGAGAAAGAATCACATACATACATACATACATGAAACGCGCGCTCGCGTGCGCCCTATACCATCCTTTGGCAAAAAAGTGAAAGAGGCACGGATGCTCGATGTCACCGAGACACATCGTGCGTGTGTGTGTGTGTGTGTTCGTTTGTTCTCATACCTGTACCTGCACCACCACCCACCCGCCCATCCACCCACCCGTTCCTACCCTCAAAATTCCCTCCTCCTCGTCCCGCTCCTCCTGCTCCTTGAAACCTCGCTTTTTTACTGCGCGCATGGTCGTCTCGCGTATGTACTGTAATCGCTACCGATGTTTTTAGTGTATGCGTGTAAGAGTCGAGTTTAGAAATTGGTTCATCTCAAGGTAAACACTGGCGTCTTTACGGAAATAGCGGCGGCGCGGCGCCGTCATGCCACAGTTGCTAAGACGGACCTCGCTTTCGAGCTTGTACTCTGTAATAAGATACGATGTACTTCCGACGAAATCCGATTCGAGTGTAACATTAAACACATACGTACACATATACACACGTATATCCGCACACACACACACACACACACAGACACGTTCACACGTATACAGCCGAACTAAAGAGAAGAGAAAACGAGAAGCAAAAATGCATCATAGATTTTTGGTATATAGCCCAGCTATATGAGAAGAAAGGAAAATGTACCGCTTATACTTCGATTACCCCTTCTGTACCTCGTTGTAAACACACACTAACATCGTTCGCCCGAGCTTTCGCGAGAGAGAGAGAGGAAAGATAGAGAAAGAATAGAAAAGAGCCTGTGTCGCGCAAAGATCTCGAGAAACACGAGCGTGTCGTTGGAATTTTCGGCGCGATGACTCGCAATTTCTTCATTGTTCTTACACGCGTCTCACCGAGACGAGCATTTTATCGCATTAGCTTGTGAGGAGGAGGAGGGAGGGAAGAAAAAGAGAGAGAAAGAGAAGGAAAAATCGCGAGGAGCAAGGAAGAAAGATAAACAGAAAAAAAAATAAGAAAGAAAGAATGGAAAAGATTACGTTATATCGTAGGTGAGCCTCTTTTTAGCATTACGTTACTCACAGCAAAGCAAGTAACTATCTAGCTAGTCTGTAATGTGGTTGTACGTTTTCATACGCCCGTTGTGTAAACTAATATCGATTGCTGTGGTATAAGAAGTGACAGAATAAATGACTGTACCTCGACTTTTTCCACCCACGCGCGCACCACATACACTCGCACACACACACACACATACGGAGATATGTGCGCGCGCTCGCCTGCGTTTTATATACGCGTGCACGCACAGGGTGTTTGCCAAAATTCCAGCGCAAGAATGTGCTGAAAAAGTTCGCAGAGCACTCGACAACGAGCGCGCATGCAGCTCTGTCATTCGGTATTCCGCGAGCTCTTCCATCACAGTGTGTTTCTGCACTCGAATTTGGGGCACTGCATGTGTGTGTGCGTGCGCGCGCGCACACACACACACACAAACAAAACACAGTTATAGTCTTTTCCATCCAGATACACGATAATCAATCCGTGTCTGTAATTATCCATCTGCCGATTCATCGACGAGAGCCATTCCATCGACGTTTTACGTTGAGACATTCCATTCTTCTTCTTGTAATAAGGAGTCTGTCGGGATCGTAGATTTACAGTGAAAAAAAAAATATACTCTTTCTTCAAACCGACGAGGTAAGCTTAGCGTTACGATTACTACTGACCATTTTACGCATTAAACCTATCTAGTTACTACTATAGAGCTAGAATTACCAAAATCCATTAAGCTCGCTCAGTTTTCTCGCTGATAACGCGACGGAAAAGAGAGAAGAAAAAAAGAAACATCGACTGCAGACGGCGAATAGGCGCAGCAAAAAAGCGAATTGCAACAACATCGAGCAACAGCAGTAATAATCCGGAGAGACGTACGCGGTTCGCAAGCTCCGCGCGCTGTGAAACAAACGAAAAAGAGAGAGAGAGAGGAGAATCGGTGTCCATCGCGCCCCTGTATTTAGGTATTATAACGATTATAAAATTGATAATCGTGTTACAAACGATACGTTATGAGGAATAAGTCAAAGTAATATCAATCGACACACACACCCGTAAGAAGTAAGTAAGTATATTTGCGAATGTGTAATTGTAAGAGCGTAATAAGTAAGATATAAGAGAGAGAGAGAAAACGAAGGAGGAAAGAGAGAAAGAAAGAAAAAAAATGAGAAAAGACCAATCTCGACGCGAAGGAACATCCGTGTGGCGGACAGGTAGGGTCGGCTCGTGTGTTACACGCGATGCTCGAAGTTGATTATTAATCGGGAAGATTAAATCGCGCGAAAACTGTGCAGGTAAACAGAGCTCTAAATTAAGAACTGCGGAGCCAGAGCGGAAGCTATCGTAGGCTATAAACGCACGCGCATATATAAATATATATTTCATACTTTGAAATACATATGTGTGTGTGTGGTACATAATATATGTAATATACACACACATACAGCACACACACGGGGTGTAATCGAGATAGACGGCCAAACTTTGAGTGCGTGATCTGTTAATTTTATTGCACGAAGCGACAACATACAATTTCGAGGTATCGAATTGATGCAAAAGACTTATCATTATTCTACTAATGTCTCGTAGGAAGTCGGAGCATTGGAAGAAAAATAGAAAACTCCGTTGTCTGAAAAAAGAAAAAAAAATATATATATACCGAGTCGATATATATATATATATATATATATATATATATATATATATATATATATATATAATTTTATTTGTAAAAATTATTAATCTATCGGAATTGGATTCTGAAGTGTGGGGTTGGTGCAAAAGAAATCTTCATTCTTGTTTCATTAAATTCACGTGAATTGGAGCATTAAAAGGAAGACGAAGTTATCTGTGAAGAAATATATCGAGTCTGTGTTGATTTTATTTGAGCACTCATGTTGATTTTATTTTTAGTTCGTTCATTTGTGGGAGTTATTCCTTCGAAATTGGGTGATTCATTTTCCATTTTATTTGGCGCGACAAGCCGTTTGCACCGATCTGGTACCTCCACAATAACAACAGGTGTGTATTACACACGAGAGTGTTAAGGTGTGTCTTCGAGTAGAAGTCCAGAGGATTTGAGACGGGAAAACGTGTGAGCCACGCGATTGATCCTCTTCCACCGTGTCCCGGTCAGTATAACTATTATCGGGAAATTCTGTTGTGCAAAAGGATGCATTTATATTTCCAAACGGCACAAGTTCCTCAGCCCGATGATCTTCGTCCTTATCCTTGAGATGAACAAAGTGCGCCCTTCAAGTTCGGCCGGCTATTTCGCTTGCGCACTGTGTGCGCGCGCGTGTGATTTCAAGGAGTACATATAAGTATTTGTGCGGCAACAAGTGTTTTAAGAGAATTAAGTACGTAAACGCGTCAGTGGCAACGAATGGTGATAGTGATATCCCCGAACCGATGAATTATCAGCCGGACGGTCCGATTACTCATTCATAGGATGGATCAGAGATCATCCCAATTATCCTAGACTGATCGTTCCTGAAACGACGTAAATTTCCCTCAAACAAGCTGGATCTTTTTCATCTCTCGTGAAAATCCCGGTCGAAAAGTACTGTTGCACGCTCTCGTGAAAGCGCGTTGTCTCGTTTGCTCCACGAGCAAGGCGAAGAAGTCGGATCTTCCCATAATTTTTCGGCTCATTGAGTCCAGCTTTGCTCATAAAGAATCGCCAACATATCGCGAGAACGTCGAAATTGGAACCAGCGGATCGAAAATTGTGGGAAAACGTGACTTTTTTTTACCCGCCACTCGTGAAGAGAGTAAGAAATCGTTTTTTCTAACAAATCTCTAAATTTTCCTTGAAAATTTATAAACACACCATTGGAAGAAAGCATGCTATCTATGGCAATTCGAAGACGCTTATTGCGGATGTCCGTTTCTTCCTGTACTGTGTTTCTGAGCAATATAAAATGAAGACAGAAGGAAACTCGAAAACCAATAATCGATATCATCGTCATAGATACGTTAATCGCGGTTGTCCGGCTAATTGAAATTTGCGTCGATCCTGGCGATCAGTCGATCTCTGCTGACCACTATGAACGAATAATGAAGCGAAGCGTAGCGACCCTCATCGTTCTTCGGAGGAATACCAACTTTTGCGTTTTTCCTTTGGATCCGCATGCGTTCTTATCGCTCTGTACTACAATCTCGATGCGGTTACATCGGATACGATGTGTTTTTTTTTTCTGTAAAACCACAGACACATAAAAGCTACAAATAAAGTAATTACGAATCTATCTCAGCTCATAACTTTTATTAAAAAGACATCTTGACTCGAAATCTCGGCGAGCCGGAATTATACGGAAGATAATTCGTCGTCTCTTCTCTTCCTTAGCCGCTCAATACGAAAAAGGCTTAAAGCCCACGTGAGAGCTTGAATTTTACGTCCCGTCGGGACACGTCCTTGCGCTGACTTCACCGCAATTTTAATACTGTTCAATTATGCGATCGCAGACTGCGACTGGCTGTGCTTCAGCGTTTCCAGCGACTGGGGCCGCGCGTCGTCCTTCGCGAGGTCGTGATCGCGAAAGCTGATTGATCCGGAGAGAAGCCTCCTGGGTCCACGTCGATTCACGTCCACCTGCCGCAGGATTCGCTCCAGATTGCCCTCCGATCCAGTCGAGATCGGCGACAGGCTGAGAGTCGACACGGTGCGACTCTTCAAGATTCGCCCGTTCCTGGGCGACCTTCCGGTCTGATCGTTGCCTCTGCGTCGGGCAGATTTCAACTTGACATTGCGCAGCATGTCCAAGGACACGACCGGTCCTCTCGGGCCCGGTACAGTGTTCCGCCTGTTGTCCTGCAATACAAAGAGTTCAATTCTCAAGAAAGAAACCTTCCCATACGACACAACGTCTAAAATCAGGACATAAGACGTCTCAAAGACATGTTAGGGGCGTCTTATATTCTGACGTCTGAAAGGCAGCTTTAAGACGTCTTTCAGACGCCTCATGTCCCGATTTTAGATGTTGTGTTGTGTGGATTTCTTCAAGAAAGGTGCGGATTGTATACCCAGTAAGCAATTTGTTGGCGGATTAGCGACAGATTCGATCAGGATATTGATTTGCTAGTGCAAGCTGCAAGCAAGGTACAATAGCAACGCAAAGTATCTATTGAATGTTCGCGTGTTTATCTGGGGAAGGAGAGAAAAAGGAACGATTCGGCGGCCGAGAAATTTATAAAACGATTGAATGTATAAAGCGGCGTGTCTATCATGTAATAATATTGCTCATTGTTTGCGAAGTATTACGTACTTCTCGCAGCAATTTTGAGCGTGTTTCCTCTCGCTTCTAACATCGTCACTCAAAAGTTTACGCGGTCCCACCCTTATAGAAATATCATACTAAGAATCATTGATAATTACTTATTTTCAGTATTAAAAATACTGGATAATAAGTAATTATCAATGATTCTTAGTATGATATTTCTATAAGGGTAGGAGTCTAAATTTTGGAAATACTTCAAAGATATCATCGGACCATGCGATTCTCTCTCAAATATTCTCTCAAATTTCACTTTATATATTGCTAAAATGTTTTAGAAATATTGAAGCAACGAATCTATCTCAGCTTCTAACATCGTCATTCAAAAGTTTACGCGGTCCCACCCTTATAGAAATATCATACTAAGAATCATTGATAATTACTTATTTTCAGTATTAAAAATACTGGATAATAAGTAATTATCAATGATTCTTAGTATGATATTTCTATAAGGGCAGGAGTCTAAATTTTGGAAATACTTCAAAGATATCATCGGGCCATGTGATTCTCTCTCAAATATTCTCTCAAATTTCACTTTATATATTGCTAAAATGTTTTAGAAATATTGAAGCAACGAAGATCTTCATAACGATGCTGATGCAAAACTACACATTAAAAAATGATTCTTTTGCTCACTGGGTTAAGTACCTTAGCATTTTGTGGAGCCTTCCTTAGGGTGACCTTCAGGAGGTCCTCGACGGTAATGCTGGGCCTGTTCAACAACGGCGTGGAACACTTTCTCGTGGGTGTCACGTTATTTCTGTTGATTTTGTTGCTATTAGGGGTTATCGGGATCACCGATGGCACTGGAGATTGAAAGGAAACCGAAGGGAAAGGCGCGGGTGGAGGAGGAAGAGGGGGAGGGAGAGGAGGAGGAAGAGGACAGGATGATGGTGGAGGAAGTGGCGGTGGTGGCGGCAGCTGCATTAGTGATGCCGATCCCGTAGCGTCTTTCGATGAAAGCAGTGAAGAGGGTGGCGGAGGAGAAGGCCGGGGTGGAGCAGGAGGGAGAGAAGAAGATGAGAAACACGAAGTGGTCGAAGAGACTCGTCGTGCGGATTTCAATTGAATTTCCTCCAGAGCTTCGTGTAGCTTCTTCAGCTCCTGCATCAGCGTCATATTGTTCTCGTTCATTTTCCTGCTGACTTCACGAACGTTATACACTTCGGCCGTTACAGCGCCGAGGACTACTTCGATGCTTGTCCGTACCTGCCACACAAATCAGGCAACAATTAGTGGAAGAAAGGCTGTTTACAGGCAGTATTCATATGACATTTAAGATTGTCTTAATTTCATTTTAAGATTCTAGCCAATGAGAGCTTATAGCTTCTTAAAATGAATTCAAAACAAGAAAATTTATCTCCTAAGAATTGGACTGTTCGATAGGTTCGTGATAATTTTTATGAGAAACTCAAGTAGCCGAGAGTACCTCCATAGTCACGTGCAATTTTATTTTATTTTTTTCCTTATTTTGATGACAGAAAATCATAAAAAAACAGTCAATACATTAATAGAGTTTAAGGCTCCTGGGGAGTCGCATCATCCATCTCTTTTTAATGACGTCAGAAGCGAGAAAACGCATGCTAAAAATTCCTGCAAAATACGTCGAGATAAACAGATATATCCACAAAACGACATTTGCGATCGATTAAGTACACCTCTAAAATACTCCGTACACTTTCCTTTTGTTCTAAAAATCAATAGATAATCGGAAAATTAATATGACAAGATAATGAGAAAATTAGGTTAGAAAAGACGATTGCACGTCACATTTATTTTATAATTATCTGTTGATTGTTAGAACAAAAGGAAAGTGTACGGAGTATTTTAGAGGTGTACTTAATCGATCGCAAATATCGTTTTGTGGATATATCTGTTTATCTCGACGTATTTTGCAGGAATTTTTAGCATGCGTTTTCTCGCTTCTGACGTCATTAAAAAGAGATGGATGATGCGACTCCCCAGGAGCCTTAACTATAATAATATTGGCCTTGAACTCTCTGTGAAAATTTCTACGAACTTATCAAAAATAGCCCAATACTAAAACTTTTATTCTAAGATTCTAATATTTATTTAATATTAATTTTTATTCTCTCTGTTATATTCTATTATTATATCAATACTTTTATTCTATTAAATACGGATATGTTGTGAAACTTATTAAAAAATAAAAATTGTAAATTTTCTTCAATCATACTATACGTATTATTTCGTGTGTTCTTTACAAAAGGAAAACGATTGCATGACATTAATATCTTTACTGTGCGCGCTTTAAACACCCGCGTACCTGCACGAACTCCGTGGAGAGACGTGCGACTTTCTCTGACATTGTGCACAGCATCTTCTCGTTTTCGGCACGTAATGTGGCCATCAGATGGCCGAATTCTTTCACTTTAGGACTCTGGCTCGGGACACTCTCGGACGAAGCGATCACTCGTCGCAATTTCTTGTAACCCTAAAAATACTTCCTTGAAAACCCTGTTTAAAATAACCCAGACAACATAATTTCTAAAATCGGGTCATAAGACGTCTTAAAGATCATCTTTAAGATATTTTTCAGATGATTTACGTATAAATGTCTTTTAGGCGTCTTAAAGATTATCTTTAAGACGTCTTACGTCCCGATTTTAGACATTATGTTGTCTGGGAACGGGAAACAACGACATTACACAAGATTTAGCTCGAATTTCAATTGAAACCCATGCGAATCAATAAGATTATGATTGATTCGTACTGAAACTCAGACTGAACGTAGTGCAATCTTATCATTTTATATCCATTATTTTGAGTAAGGAAGTGGAGTCGTCATTTCATGATCGTGTCTTAGCTCGTAACGACCCTCAGTTATATTTACATTATCTACTAGATGCAGTAGCTTCTTGTATAGCCAGATGCAGAATGCTGCTATTCTCTTGATCATGCGGGGAATATTTTTTCGCCTAGACGAGTGATCCTGAAAGTCACGTAGCGTCACGATGCTGTGAGATATACGACGCTGACAAGTATCCTGATATTCCACCTATGATATATATTATTAATTAATTATTAATAATCTTTGAATAATTAAGTATTAATACATTTAAAACTACACTGAAAGAGAAAATATCTAAGAAATAAAAAATACTTATATTCGGTTGGATACTACTAACATTTATTTGTTATTATTAATATATTATTACTCTATATTTAAATATATTTAGGTATATTTTTACTCTTATAAATACAAGATATCTTACAAGTAAAAAATATATATTATCGTATGATCTTAGCCTTTCCTAAAAATCATTGTTTACTCTGTTGAAATAAAAGAACTTAAATTTAGAAGCAAATATATTTTTAGTACCCGTCGAATATTTTTTGTTTTTAGATATTTTTTCTCTCAGTGTGTACATACACAGAGAGAACGATTTGTTGAATCAAATAAACGTTATTAAATTTTATATTTATTTTAAAATAGAAATATTTATTTTAAAATAGAAACGTAATAAACGTTTCTTTGGAATAGTCCAAACAAATTTTTTGGTTAACACAATATTTCTTTGAAACTAAGCCGCAAATAAATATTTTTGTTGCGTCAAATAAAATTTTGTCCGATCAATCAAAAAATTTGTTTGGACCATTCCAAAGAAGCGTTTATTCAACCAAATCGTGTGTGTACGATACGAAAGTAATAGTGGATTTACAAGTTGAAAGGACATCGCAGATCCAGTAGGAAACAATAGTTATTAAACAATTTTACTGAAAACTGAAGTCTACTGTTAGAAAATGTATTATCAGCAAAATAAAGTCTACCGGCATTCTATTCCTGTATTATCAGAAAACACGAGAAAAGAATTTATATTGAAAAGAAAGTTATAACGTTCTGTTTAGAGTCTCGATCCGGTTTCCCACACTTCAGTTGAATATAGAGTTTCGAGAGACACGCAAACGAAACGTTACTTCTTGTAGGTGGCTGCTGCAACAGTTGCAATCAGACAGAGCGGGCAGATCGACGCTGGTGATCGGTGTTGATTCCGTGAGGGAGCAATTGATGCAACTCGTTTTAACGCATGCCGATAAATTTAGTGGCTTCTCGTTATTATTCTCTCGTTGCGGTAGCATCGAATCATTCGTCACTTCCGCGCGAGCCTTCGCCGGCTCGCTTTGCTCTCCTTTCGCTTCCTCATCTTCATCTTCAAACTTCAAGATCGCGCGGCAGCGATGAGCTGATGGTGACGATCCGCTGCAAGGTGTGGTGGATTCCTGCTCGCGCTTTTCAAAAGACATTAAATATAAAATTTAATAAATAAATACAAACAAATTATTATAATCTATACACGAATGTAAACAATTAAATTTTAAATATCTTTTTATATATCTTTCATATAGCGAGTAATATAATCCATATTATATAATATCCTTATTAAGATGTTTTTTGCGACATTTAGACGTCTTATATCCCGATTTTAGATGTTGTGTTGCGTGAGAAAGATTCTCTCACTTCAACGCAGCAGGTGCACTTAGGTGACGTTTTCGAGCGCAGCCTCTATCAGTGATTTTGTGCTTACTGAATTCAACTCGATTTTCTTCGCTCCTTGTGGCGACTCGTCAAGCTTCGATCGACGCTCGTTCGTGATCGTGGCCCGAGCGGCATTGCGACCCGCCAAGAAAGCGTAACTCTTGTGGTTCTTCGAGCTCTTCGGCGACAAGGGTGCGCGAGATGAGACGAGAAACGACGACGACGGCGGCGGCGGCGATGTTGTTATCGAAACGTAACGAAATCTCCGATCATCGCGGGCGAATCTGTGCTTGGAGAACAAGGGCGCGCCGTATTTCACATCTTCGCCGCAGATCTTCCGGTTCAGTCGCTGCAGGTACCCGAAGACTTTCCGGAACTCGCGCCAATTCGCGGTTGAAGGTCTGCCGTCCCTCTCGCTCGCGACGCCGTAGCTTTTGTCGTCGTTACCTGATTTCTTTCCTCTCATCTGATCAGCGTTATCCCCGTCGTGTGCGTCCAAGGTCTCGCAGATCGACGACTCGAGCGACTCGAACTCATTTGGCGACGATTGCACGAACTCGTGCTTATCGCTCTTCTGCAAGCTCGTCAAGTGCGTGGCTTCCATTTCGATATGCTTACTTTGCAATTGATCGATCGTTACGTCAAGCAGCGGGCTCTTCTCGACGACGGAACGGCGGCTGATAGCTGCTGTCGTGACTGTCGACGACTCAACAGGTACTCGATGCTCGTCCAGGTACGTCTCCATCTCGCGCGCGAGATCGTCGTTCATCGAGAGCGTCTTATCCAACAGATAACCATCCATCTTCGCGGCTCCATAACGATCTCTTTCTGGACTCCATTCCGCCTCGACGAGAGATTGTATCTCGCGCTTCGTGTCCGGAACTTGATCCGAAACTTGATCGTACTCGTCGGGCGAGCTCAGGACTGGCTGTCCGATTCGCTTCCGCGTAATGTTTCTTCGTCTGCCCTGCTTAAAAGATTTGACAGAATTAAATGAGAAACGTTTATGCTGTTGAATCATGTTTTTGGTAAAAAAAAAAAAAAAAAAAAAAAAAAAAAAAAAAAAAAAAAAAAAAAAAAA